ATATTTTCATCATTGCCATTATCCTTATTGCTTATAAGACTACAACACACAGCTATTTATTTCTGTGTTGTTTTCATTGTTACCGCTTATGTATCTCTAAAAGATGAGACTCAAAGGGACTGGAAACAAACAGAGTTTTCTATTCTTTATCTCAAATCAGATGTCTGAGTCATCTGTACTGTTGTTCGGTTTCTCTTCTTAGCTCTCAGTATGGGAATGTGGTTTCAACATCCTTAATATTGTTTTCCGAAACTTTCTCTTAGAGGAAGACTATGCTATATGAAATTCTATTCACTGAAATATCTAAGCCATAGAGTTGAAGGGTCTTATCAGTTATGATCAAGACTAACAAGTAGTATCTTAAAGGTGATGGCTTTAGAAAGTTGGGTTTTAAGAAACACAAAACTGCAGGAAATTGTACCCATATTTTATAACCTGTTTCTTTGACCACATGGTCAAAGTCCTTTGTTTCCTGCATTAATATTCTAAAACTAGGACATGTCTTGATGGTGGAAGCATGAAGATACGTGGCCTGTTAGAGACATTGGACAGATTACTTAACCTGTCTGAACCATAATTGCCTTGGCTTACAATACCTTTCTTGGGCTATTGTGATAACCAAATGAGAAAAGATCTACGCATATCTCATACGTTTTTAGAAAAATTCAAGTTATTATCAAGTTATAAATCAAGAGACAGTGCTGTCATAGGTGGTCATCTGGTTGAATTTTGAGATTTGTGGGAAGTTTAGAGATTTGTCATATTTAAAACTAAACTTTTACCAAATTGTATATTTTCTGAGATTGGGGCTAAGAAAACCTCCTCTTATTGGATAGATGTGGAGGAGTTTGTTTGTGTAAGTTTTGGGGAGAGAGATAGAGCACTAACCCATGCGTTACCGATAGACATGTTCATGTGTACAGAGAGAGAGACGCTAAGGGAGTACGTAAAGTCTCCTCTGAAGGGATAAGACGTCAGAATTGTAGTTGTTCTTAGGTTCCTTCAGTTCTGCTGCATCGCCATTCGATGCAAAACAGAACCACTGCCCCGTCCTGTGTCATGCTCACCATTGTCCTTATGCTTGAGAATTTTACTGAACCCTTATTTAATGATTTCCCCTTTTATGATTTCCTCGTAGGCTGCCTGCAGTTTCACTGGTGCTTAGCACATAAAATACTTACCTTAAAAAATGACTTATTCAGAACTCTTTTCTCCCATAGTTAAAAAAAGACCATCAGTGTGTGTTTATAAAATAGTACTATTATAGGATTGCTATGAATTGGAATTGAGTAGATGGCAAGAGATACTATAATCCTTTCTTATCTATTATAAGGAGTTCGGCATGACCCATTCTCTCAAAAATCTTACCATCCAATGATGACTGGCCAGTAATTAGCAAATCCCATTAACCCTACCCACGATGAGTGAGTAGGAACTGAAATGAATGAATATGATACTGAATGAGGTGCAGCATGTAATCTTAGAAGAGAAGGAGCGCAGTGTGTGCTGAAGGAATTAGAGAAGGTGGCACATATACTTTGATGCTTCAGTGTGCCATTAGGATAAGTAAGGCTTCCCCAGATAGGAGAGAGAAAGGAGTCTGCCATAGGAATGGAACGTGTCACTTCCAGGCAATTATTTCTATGGGGCTCTAGGAATCTGGCCTGAGCAGAGCAGAGGAGGTAGAGCATTGGGTAATATGATAAAGTTAACTACTTAGGGTGAGACTAGATTTGAGAGAGTTGAGGTAAAAAATATTCGATCTGCTCCTTTAGTACAACAAAGTCATTTCTGTGCAAGAGAGTGAAAAACGGAGGGTGATTAGTCAGGCAGTGGTTATCAAGACTGAATGGAGCAGAAAGGATGTCCAATACCTCCGGCGATATTATGATCACAAAATATGAGACAGCAAAGGCTGAACCAAGGTGGTGGCACTACACCGGAGAGAAAGCTGAGGGAGACGGGAAACATTTTGAAGGAAACGTGAAGAGGGGCTTCTTGACCAAGTAGATTTGGAGGCTAGAAGAAAAAGGGGTTCCCAAACTTGATTTCAAGATTTCTACCTAGTGATTTGCATTGCCCAGAACATTAAGAACCATTGACACAAACAAAAATCAGAAGGGAGCCGTGTTCTGGCAAAACAATCTTTGAGTTTGATGTTAGATCCATTAGACTTCAAGGCTGGATAATTGATCGGCAGTGTGGAAGAAGTGCTACTCAGAGTACCATGCTGGAGATGAGCTGAATTTTAACCAGACATAATTAATTGGGCTTGGGCTTCACGCTGAAAGCCAAGCAGTATTTATTGAGCTGCCATTTAGTCCCCTGACTTATAGAACTGAGGATAAAATGATAATCTTCGCTACTTTCCTAATCAATATATGATTAATAAAAGGATGAGTGACACCAAGTAAACTCAGGATGACTTCTTTAAGGGTAGAAATGGTATCATCAAAAGACTCAATACTGTAGCAGTGATAATAAAAGAATCATCGAACTCAGTATTCTAAGATAACGCCTTATCATACTAGCAGTAGGGTGTAGTTATTAAATTTATTGTATTTCCCTGATTCTAAGATTCACACACACACACCCCCACACACCCATACACACGTTTTAAGATCCCTGAAATTGGGATGTGACTTACAATTAATGTCATCTCAGTATTCTTGTTGCTGAGGCAGCAGTCACAGCATAGTTGTCACCGTTTTAATCAATTTATCTTATTTTTCTTTCTTATATATGCAAAAGAGTTATATATGGTAAAAAATATGCCAAAGTTTAAAAGAGCTCTTTATCAGTATAAAACAAAAGTTCTAAGAAAGAAAACAATACTTTAATTGACTTCCCCCACCCTTCGTGGTAGATAAAATGGCGTGTTTCATGAAGATGATATTTTAAATTGATAAAATATGGTAGTAACAGTTAGCTGATCACAGCACATAGGTCATGATTGTGATATGGATGGCTAGAACAAAGTATTCTAAATTTGCATTCTTTGCTCTAACATTGACCTAAATTCCAGGAACCCCTGGAGTTGCTGTAATTTGTAGTGGGAGCTTTAGGCAAAAGGATTTTCACTCAGGAGCATAACTACTGCCTGCCAGGAAGGGCAGCCTTACTGAGGGTCCATTTCCTCCCTGGGGAAGAATCCATATAGCATTCACAAATGCCCAAGAATTTGCAGAATGGATCCTGATGGTTATTCAAACCCAGTTACCCTTTCTAACCTCAGACTGTTGTGCAATCCAGGCACTTCTCAGTGTGTTTGCTAAATGTGCAGAGTGAGTGAGAATCTGCAAGGAACGTTTCTTGTCTTGAGGGTTGGTAATAAAATCTCATAGTGGGAGATCTCTTTAAAAAAAAGCGTGAAAAGCATTCAGTTCCCTGTAACAGAATTTTTGCCCATTTCTGCAATAAGACCTGTTGACTGGAGGTAGGTAGCTTTTTCATTTACTGATAGAATCACAGGGCTTTTTCCTAAGGACTTGCAGAAGACAATAACCAGGGCACCTGTGTATCTATCTTCATGAACGCCTCAGCTCCAGAACAGAGAAGGAGGAATCCAGTTAGAGGGTCGGGGCTGGGGATGCATGTGTCTCTTTACTACTCAGGGCCAGCAGGGAGGGGCTAAAGTGAGTCCCAAGTCCTTCACCATCGGATGGTAACCTTGAGTTCGTCTATAGGTACATTTTCATGCTGCTTATTCATCGAGTCTAATTGGCTTCCTAGAACAGGCTTGCAGATATAGAGCCAAATATAGAGCAGAGCAACCCCCTGGCAAACAGGAAAAGATTAATTTTGTGGTATGCTGTTAAGGGACTTCCCAGGAAACTTCAAAAGCACAGGAAGAAGCTGCGTATTCCAAAATGTGTAAGATGCCACTCAGCTTTTAAGAGGTATGCTGAACCCAAAACTCTCTCTTACACACACATGTGGAGGCCGGCGCCGGCTCGCACTCACACACACAACCTTTTTTTTTCCAATATGAAAAGAAGCTGCGCGTCCTTTTGATGGGGCTGTGTAGTAACCAGAAAAGCCAAGGGGTGAAGGGCCTCAGAGAGTTAGAGGAGATACGTGTGGTGTCTACATATGGGAGGCATTTGAAATTGACTTCAATGCTGTTTGAATGCTGACGTTTCCAGTTTCTTAAGCAGACACATTGTTTTCATGACATCGGCCCCAGGCACAGACACATCATTAAAATCAATGCGGAAAATGATTTCTGTTTGGAAATAAGCAAAACATTTTCAATGACGACCACCCAGGTGTAATAGAAAGAGCATTTAGACCCAGAATGGGGAGGCTTGGGTTCTAATAGAAACTTTCTTCTTGACAAGGTAAGTCCTTCAGAGCCTTTTGTTCCCTTATCTGTAAAACAGACTGGCTTCAGGAAATTAGCCATCTTCTTTGCTCGGTGGGAGGGCAACGAACACCACCCCACCTATCAAGGTAAAGCTCCCTGCCGCCTCTCCTATTGTGCTGTTCATGCCTAGACAGCACACGGCGAGAAGACCCGCTCAGACCCCTCAGGCCACTGCTGTTCCTGTCATGCGTTCTGCAGGAAGACTGTGTTGCTAACTAGAAAAAAAAGAAAAATTTACTATTACACTTGCGGTTGTTGCTTAGTAACATTTCTGATTTTGTGTTTCCAGTGACAACATGAGCAGAGATCATTAAAAATTAAACTTACTAAGCTGCTGAAGCAGGAGGAAGGAGACGTTGAAGCCACATTTTTTTTTCTTTTCACTTGCTCACCAGCCATTTCATCTCAAGCTCCGTCGTAGGGCAAACATTGCACGCCTCTGGTTTATAGGAGCCCACATGTTACACACTGCTGACATTAAGCTGTGTCTGGTGCCCCTGGCGTTCATCACCAATCCATAAAGAACCCTGACCCTGCAGGATGGCCTGGGATGACAATCAGATGGGCCCCGTTGCACCCCGGTGAAAGCCAGCGCTAACCAGTGTTGTGTCCTGTTTCTCCTTTCTCCTCCCAGTTCCACCAGGTGAGAAGAGTGATGACCATCCTTTTCCTTACTATGGTGATTTCATACTTCGGTTGCATGACGGCTGCCCCCATGAAAGAAGCAAACATCCGAGGACACGGCAGCATGGCCTCCTACCCAGGTGTGCGGACCCATGGGACTCTGGAGAGCATGAATGGGCCGAAGGCCGGCGCCAGAGGCCTGCCTTCCTTGGCTGACACTTTCGAACATGTGATAGAGGAGCTGCTGGATGAGGACCAGAAAGTTCGGCCCAGCGAAGAAAACACTAAGGACGCGGACATGCACACGTCCAGGGTGATGCTCAGTAGTCAAGTGCCTTTGGAGCCCCCTCTTCTCTTCCTGCTGGAGGAATACAAAAATTACCTGGATGCTGCAAACATGTCTATGAGGGTCCGGCGCCACTCTGACCCAGCCCGCCGCGGGGAGCTGAGCGTGTGTGACAGTATTAGTGAGTGGGTAACGGCGGCCGATAAAAAGACTGCAGTGGACATGTCGGGCGGGACAGTCACAGTCCTTGAAAAAGTCCCTGTCTCGAAAGGCCAGCTGAAGCAGTACTTCTACGAGACCAAGTGCAATCCCATGGGTTACACAAAAGAGGGCTGCCGGGGCATCGACAAGAGGCATTGGAACTCCCAGTGCCGCACTACCCAGTCGTACGTGCGGGCCCTTACCATGGATAGCAAAAAGAGAATTGGCTGGCGGTTCATAAGGATAGACACTTCCTGTGTGTGTACACTGACCATTAAAAGGGGAAGATAGTGGATTTATGTTGTATAGATTATATTGAGACAAAAAGTATCTATTTGTATATATACTTAACAGGGTAAATTATTCAGTTAAGAAAAAAATAATTTTATGAACTGCATGTATAAATGAAGTTTATACAGTACAGTGGTTCTACACTCTATTTATTGGACATATCCCTGACCAGAAGGGAAACAGTCATTCGCGCACAACTTAAAAGTCTGCATTACATTCCTCGATAACGTTGTGGTTTGTTGCCGTTGCCAAGAATTGAAAACGTAAAAAGTTTAAAAAAATAATAATAAATTGCATGCTACTTTAATGGTGAATTGATAATAAACTGTCCTCTTTCAGAAAACACAAAAAAAACAACAAAAATTTGAACCAAAACATTCCGTTTACATTTTAGACAGTAAGTACCTGCGTTCTTGTTAGCACTCTCTGTTTTACTGCTTTCCACTTCTGATCGTGTTGGAATTAAAACAATGTCACGGTGCTGCTGTCCTCGCTTTACTGGATGGGGGATGGGAGGGGCAGTACTTTTGTTTGTTTTGTGTTCTTTTGTTTGTTTTGTTTTGTTTTATTTCTTTTTAAACTTTTATTTTTCAGTTTCCACAGGGAGTGGAGATGGGAAAAGAATTTGTTCCGTATGTGTTCTGGTTGATAAAAGATTCGCTTTTAGGTGGTAAGGAAGTCCGCAGTCTCAATCAGATAACTGAAAAGTGAATGAAAATGAAGGCGGTTGAACACCGTGCTCACACTCCACTTCCCGTGGTGCATCTCCCAGGCTCTCCCTTGGGGCAGGGGCAGGGAAGCTGCCTCTGTCGGAAAGGTCCACTCCTCAGAGCACATTCTTTCCCTCCCTCTCCCTTTGGACCCCCCCCCCCTTTGTGCTATTGTTTTCTCTGAAGGAAAAAGGCCAGTTGCACACTTAGAAATATCTTACCATTGCTCTCACGGAGCAAATTTTGCCACCTGGTGGCACTAACATAAGCATGGAGAACAGTGACTTAATTTCTTCTCTTTAGACAGTAACGAGAAAAACAAACAGAAATAACCCCAAGGAGAATTTGTTTTTGTTTTGAGGGGGTAGACATTTGGGTTAGTTGTGGTAAAACTTGCAAAAGGTGGACTTCTGGGTGGTCCCCCAAGTACCTAGATCAGAGCAGGAATCCACATTGCCAGTGAAATGCCACAGAACAGTGCTGTCGAGGCCATGCGGAGCTGACGGAGCGTTTCCAAACGGGTGGTGCGGAGGAGTTTCTGAGTGGCCATCCTGAGGTCTAGGTCAGGGTAGGGAAGGGGACGTGAGACATTCCAAAGGGGAGGCCTCTAAAGGACTCTCAGAGGTGGCTCTGGAATGACACACGGACGGACGTGCTTGGCCCTCACGCTTTAAGTGCCTATATTACCTAACTGCTCGAGAGCGTCTCCCAGGAGGACCGTGTGAAAGCTGACTTACACGCTCCGCCCCTCCTCCTGGTGATAGTTCATTTTGAATAAAGCTGGATTTGCCTAGAGCAGGTGAGGAGCCAAAATGTGGCATTCTGATCCTCAAATAGATGTACGGAGCTAGAAGATGTTGGCTACGTGAACGCTTCTGCTGAAACTAGACTGGAGGAAACCAGGGTTTTATCTTTTCAGAATTACGTAGAGGGGAAGGGGTAGGCAAAGGCTCCAGGCTTCGTGACGAAGGCTACCACCCATAGGCAATCTGGTCCAGAAACACTCCAAGGAGGTGTCTGGGTGTCCAGAAAACCTAGGTTCAAAGGGGCCCTGCTCAATGGAAGAGGCCTGGGCAGAATTGGCAGCATGTACTCCCCAGTGGAGGCTGTAGCCACCTCCATCCTCTGTTTATGGAGAAAGGACCCTTTCGCATCTTGACCTAGAAGTCAAGTCGGGGGCCTGGAAGAGAGTCTCAGTGGTGCTGGGGGCAAAATGGGCCTCATCGAAAATTCGTGCTAAACCCATTTGCCATTGTCCAGCCTTGAAGATGTTAGTGGTCAGACCTGGTCAGGGTCACAAATAAAAGAAAATCCTAAAGTCATTGCTGTATCTTAGCCGGGTGAGGGCTAAACAAGAGAATGACCACCATGATCCAGGGACTGAAGCTACCACCAGCAAGTCCTTTGCCCTGTTCACTCTTTCCTGTAGAACTCAGCCTGCCCTTTACACTCATTTGCGTATGTCTCATTACAAGAAGGAAGTAAATGATCTTCAAGACGAAATCGTTCAGGTTTATTTTGTGCCGTTTGAAAATAATGTCTTTGTAATTATGTTTAACATGTAATGAATGCTTGGAAGACTATCTGCTGTATGCTAACTTTTTTCAGCTTCCTTTGAGGGACACATTTTTTACACATGCCCCCCCCAGGCCCCGCCCCTTCCCATCCCCAGGGGGGCGGAAGTCCCCATCAACTTCTCCATTGATGACAAGGGCCAGATGTTAGGTGGTTCCATAGGCGACATCCAGCAATTGTGTGGTCAGCAGCATTCTCTTCTCAGATAAAAGATACCACAGTCACATGCTTGGTGGCTTATGTTGACCTAAGATTTATTGTGTTGAAATCTCCCTCTGTTGCTGTTCGTTTCTGTTTTGTTGTTGTTGTTCTGTTTCGTTGTTTGGTTTTTGTTCTTTAAGTCTTGCTGTGGTCCCTTTGTGGCAGAAGTGTTTCATGCATGGCAGCAGGCCTGTTGCTTTTTTATGGTGATTCCCATTGAAAATGTAAGTAAATGTTTGTGGCCTTGTTCTCTCTATGGTAAAGATATTATTCACCATGTAAAACAAACAAAAATATTTATTGTATTTTAGTATATTTATATAATTATGTTCTTGAAAAAAAATTGGCATTAAAACTTAACCGCATCAGAAGCCTATTGTAAATACAAGTTCTATTTAAGTGTACTAATTAACATATAATATATGTTTTAAATATAGAATTTTTAATGTTTTTAAATATATTTTCAAAGTACATAAAAATCTGGGGGTTGTGGGTTTTTTTCTCTTCACTGTAAAACAAACATGAAAACGTGTTTTACTATAAATACGTGTGTTCCTTGTTTTAACCAACCTGGCTAGTTTTTACAATTAAACAGCCCTCCGCAGAGGATGCTTGTTTCCAAGCATGGGGAGGCCAATCCTGCTGTCTGTGAGAAGCTCCAGGATTGGGCCTGTCTTCCACAGTGGAAGACAGGGGTGCTATTTTCCGGGACACTTGAAAGTTTTCCCCTGTACAGAGATATATTTTCATCAGATACCAATCCACGTATCCTAGCAACATCAGGATCCATAGACTCAGGCCTGGCTGGCTCTCTTTCATGGTAAAATAACAGCTAGAAAGCAAAGCAGGTTTGCTTAGGGCTAATGAGAATAAATCGGCCCAGATTTAGGAAGTCCGTGACTGAAGGAAATGTAGAAATCCAAAAGTTATGTGCCCTCCATTTGGAAACGGTGCCGTGTGCATGATGGATTTGTATCCGTTGCACTGAGGTTGTGTTTGTACATGGAGCATGCAGATTCTATATCACAGCATCCACGATCTAACAGATTGATAGATTTCTAAAAAGATTTGCCTCTGTGATGGCTGCCAAGCCACTGGGTAATTTAGTTACAGTGTTTAAACTTATCACTAAATCTTAGGGAAATAAATGGAAAGATTTTAAATAGGAGAAAGGGCTATTAAGTGCAAAAAAGCATCTGTTCCTACTCTTCGGGCTCCCCATTTGAACACTGGCAATGCCTCCCAGAACGTGGTGAACTATATCTGTGCAGTGTATCGTTTCTATTTCAAACATACACACATGGTTCCCTCTTGTATTGTCTTATAAATAAGGATCAAGAAAGTCATAACAAAGATTGGCTTGTGTGGGATATATGGAAGAACAGATCGAAGGAGATGAATTACTCGATTCCATGAACTTGCAAAGTGCTCTAAGAGAAGTCCTTGCCTGCCACTCCGGAGCCTAGCTATAGGCGCAGAGCTTTGGTAAACTTCAAGTTTAACCAATTTCATACTTGAGGAAGGCTAAATACTGTTGAAAGGATAAAGAGGAACGAGAATTAAATGTGACATGCAAACTCCTTAGAGTTAGAGTAGTCTTTTAAGCCTAGCTTGAATTTTTCATCAGAAGTAATGAGCAAACAGAAACAGAGGCATCTACTAAATGAACCAACTTGGAGTTAACAGAAGTACCCAATTTATACCATACTCATTTGTACTTAAGCTTGTTGGATCATTATGATGAGTGAGCACCACCCAGATGTTTGCTTTCCACATATTGATATGCTGGCCATTAGTATCCAAACCCTAACAGTTGTGAGAATTTGAACTAAATCTTAAAATGAGTTAGTGTTGAATTTTCACTCATTCACTTACATGCTTGCTGGTTTCTGGATAGAATGTGTGCAACAAAGGCTTCAGCTTGTGGGCCTTTGCCTCAGCTCAGCCACCAGTGTTTGGGCCTAAGCGTCAGGTAAAATCCTTATCTCCACCAGGTTCTAACAGTGCCAGGCCTGCTCTGTGAGTCGCAGTACAAATGCCTGCTTATGCTCATGGGTCATTGTCAAAGAAAGGTAACCTTAGGACAAGAAACAACTTGGGCCATTCTTTGAGCTGTTGGCTGTTTTAATAGTTGTTTTTAAGATTGGGTGGTAGGGGATCTAGGGGTGGCGGTGGGGAAGTATAGGACAGGACTTAATGGTCGCATTGAGCAAATTGGTGGTTGGTTCTGTGAACTAGCCAAAGAGCCGAGTAGGTACAGCCATGCCCAGTCAGCAAACATTTGACATACAATCCAGCTAATGAACAAATGCCCAGTGCCCTCTGTTCCCAGTCCTTAGAGTATTTCCACCTAGTTCCTCAATTCTGGCCACTAGTTTAAATTATTTGTAGAAAGAAAATGGCCACCTTCTTGCTCTTTGATAAGTGGTGAGATGCAGTAAGTTGAAGAGTGTGTTTAAACGTTAACCAAAAAATACTGTGATCTCATACACACTATTTCTTAAGAAGAAAAGCCACTTCATGTGGTGCATGCTGTACGATTCCCATAGGCCTCTATCTCAACTTCTCTAAATAGGCAAAACAAACCAAAAAACCCCACCAAATCAGAGTCCCCAGCCTGGCATTGCTTCCTTGAGTAACAAAAATCCTATGTCCTTGGTAGTGCCACTAGCGTGGAATCCTAAATTAAATACATTTCACCACACACACAAACACACTGGCACGGAGTCCTTTCCAGCTCGGTCAGCGCCGAACTCTTCCTCAGGGTTCTGAGACCATCTCCCAGGGAGCAGGCTGCCTTGGCTTTCTCCCAGGAAGGGGTGATTTGAGCCACCAACCCTGTGGTTGGTTAGCAGTTCAGCACCACCAGGGATCCCCCACTCCCACCCCCAAGTATATGAAACAAACAGGACCTCTGTAGTATTTGGTACATATTTAAAGTGGAGATGGCTATACATATAGATAGATGATAGATAGATAGATAGATAGATAGATAGATAGATAGATAAACTAATTTGGCAAAATAAGAGTATTTTATCACTTGGGAAAAAAAATAAAACCTGCCCTGAAAAACTCCACACAAAACCGTGTGTAGTTTATGACAAGGTAAGCCTTAAGCGTGTAAAAGACCAAAACCCATTGGTTGAAATGCTGAGCTTGAGGTGTCCATTCTCCAATTAGAAGAACCCAAAGTGTGCTTCTGTGGGGCTCCCTGGCCCACGTGGTTCCTTAGACACCAGGAGTTGGGCTGTACAGAGCGGCTGCCCCCAGGGGAAATAGGTCCGGCCGTTGTAGTGCTGACATGTGGGAGGAGGCGGGGATCCAGAGCCAGTACTGCAGTGCGTACAGATTCACATTTATTGGGTCAGGCTACGTCTTCTATTGGGGCCTAACATTTAAGAAATAATTCCTAAATGGGGCTTTGGCAAAAATTAAAAGTAAGAAAGAAAACCAACTCTAAATGGCAGAGATTTCCCACCAAAGGATCCTTAACAAAATCTCCCGCAAACAAAACCCCGCTGCTATAGAGCCCATTCCAACTCATAGTGAACTTGTAGAGTTTCCCAGGCTGTAAATCTTTAAGAAAGCAGATAGTCTCTTGTGTTTCTTTGGAAAGATTACCCGTACTTATTCTCTCCTCCTACTGGACACTAAGTGGTCCTCAAAGTGTGGTCCCTGAAAAGCAGCAGTGGTATCAAAGTTCCTGAAGGGAATAGAAAAATCACAGACTTGACCTTTAAAAAACTCAAATGCACTGCCATTGAGTCACCTCTGACCCAGGGACCCTGTAGAACAGTGTAGAGTCACTTCTGTAAGTTTCCAAGAGGAGAACTCTGTATGGAAGTAGAAAGCCTCACCATTCTCCTGTGGAGCCCTTGGTGGTTTCCAACAGGTGACCTTGTGGTTAGTAGCCCAATGCGCTGCCCACCATGCTAGGGGGGCTCCCAACAGACCACCCTAGACCTCCCTCAGGGTGGGCAGCTGCAGTTTGGATCGTCACTTCTCAGGTGTCCGAATCACCAGACAAAGGACTAACCAATCAACCTTCCATGAAGCCCCACAAAGTTGTAAGTTTTGAGTTTTAATTCCAGCCACGACATGACATCTTTCTGTGACCCTGAAGACATCACTGAAATCATCCGGATCTCCATTTTCTAAAGAGTCGAGCTCCAGGTGGCATAGTGCTTGGTGTGCATTGGGATCTCAAAGCAAGCATAGAGCTGAGAGCTGGGACAGCTCGTTGCGTTGTATAGTCCACCTTCTCATTTTCGTTCTTTTCAAAACCCCAGCCGTAGTGGATTCAAGACTCAGAACATGTAGTCATTTGTAACACATTTGGAGTGGCTGTGAGAAATGAGAAGCAACATGCAGCAAATTAATAAGGAAAAGATTATTCCATCTGGGGAGCTGGTTCTGCACCTGCCAACATTAGCCCTCTTTCTGTGAACTAGAGCTATATTGGTCACAAATTAAATAAGCTTCCTGAATTAATCAGCTATTAACATCCAGCTGAGGAGTCCTAGACTCACCCCTCCAAAGGACCACGTTGTAAATACAAAGGGCTTCTCCAGTCATTGTGGCAAACCTCTTCCTGATTACGGACAGGAGATGGTTTCTGGGAACGAAGACATGAGAATAGGCGATTGTCCATGCCACCTCCATCTCCGTGTATATGTATGTGTCTGTCTCTGCGCACATCCCCACACATGTTGGGCACTTCAAACTCTATTTGAAGGTTTTCTGTTGGGGAGGAGGAAGGTGTCCAAATATATCCCCCATATTAAGCAATATGGACACTGGGCTTTTCATAAGCCTGCCTTCAAAGTATTTAGGAGTCCTGGAAGTTCAGTCCTTAACAAGAGCCCATCTATTTCTGATCTCTCAGACACCAGGCCCTCCCTCATCTGTCCTTAAAAGAAGCTAAACTGGATGGTCTTTGAAATCAATGCCAGCCTTAAAGTTCTATGCTTGGGTTCTTTCCATTTCATCGTCTGCAGATTGAGATAGGAGAGATTCTGATGCACTTCCAGGCTGGGGAATATTCTGTGGTCACTCCCTGTCCGGCTCCTGCCTCTTTCTCATTCATGCCCTCACTATTTGGCACTTGGCACAAGAATGAAATCAGGAACAACCTTGGATGATAATAAGTGTTGGGGAGTAGGGGAGATGCCCCAAGGAAGACTTTTCTTTTATCTATAACTAGGAGCCCTGGTCACATAGTGGTTATGCATCGGACTACTAACTGCAAGGTCAAAGTTCAAAAGCAACAGCCACTCAATGGGAGAAAGAGGAGGGTTTCTACTACTGTAAACAGTTAACCAGTCTAGAAACCCATAGTGGTGTTTCTACTCTGTCCTTTAGGGTCACTATGACTTGGACTCGCCTTGA